GAAAAGCATCTGGACGATCTGTAGAGCTGCTGTCTAGAGCCAGGCATCTCTATGCAATGAAAACATTCATATAACCAGAATCATCTTTGTATTTCCCTACTGTTGTTCAGCAGATATGCCTGTCCGCTAGACTTTGAAGATTACAACTTGCGAGTGATCATTTTTATAAGTAAATTGACATGGATTTTCAGTTCAAAAGTGATTTAATCAACATTAGTTGTCTTATTGATATTGGATTAAAAAAAATCTTGCATTGTTTTTCTTTAAAAAAAAGTTATTTTAATTAAATGATGTGATTAAGTGTAAATTGAAATGATTTAAGAAACTCCATTGTGAGTGTAAGACATGTAGGTTACTGGTTACTGTGTACTTACCTTTTACATGTACTTATTCTTTTAGCCCAACCGTCTACGAGTGCAGCGGCGGCGGCGGTCCACCACGAGGGTATGCTGACACGGAAACACGAGTGGAAGAATGACGAAAAGAAGGCTACCAACAGGTATGATATACATAGCCTCACCCGTATGATAACAGTTTAAATGGTGAAGGAAGTGTAATAAAGGTAAAATATGATTCCTCCAGAATATGTTCCTCACTTAGAGTCTGAGATCGACTTTGTTCTTAGTGTTTCTACTTCTTTGCTCCAGTACTCAAGATATTGTAGCATGGTGTTTTATTTTCTCCAGGTCCTGGGACAAAGTGTATGTGGTCTTGCATGGTAACACACTGTCCTGTTACAAAGACAAGAAGAAGCAGGATCGTATCCACCACGAGCCTGTACTCAGTCTGGCCAGTGCTGCCTGCCGCAAGGCCATTGACTACACCAAACGGCCAAATGTGTTCCGTGTGAAGCTCGCCACTGGCGGCGAGTACCTCTTCCATGCTAAAGATGAGGTAGGTCTAAATGAATTGTTGGAGCTTAATATTTAATTTGGAGATATTTCACAATAACTGTGTAATTCCCCCCAAAACAATTAGATGTTTGCAATATGTCTGTTCTTATTAATCACATAAAATCTATAAAATACTCTAGTTTTTGTAGACCTCATTGAGCTTGCCAGGAGGAA